AAAAGGTCGATGCAGTGTTGATCGTATACGGTTGGGATCATGCATCGCTGTTCCACTCTTCTTTTTCAACATATAACTAAGGTTTGGCAGACCTCCTCTTGTCCAAGATTGCAAAATGCGGGAAGTCTAAGACCGACCCTCATATATGCCGGAACCTCCACCAGACCATCAAGAAGTTTGGGAAGAGACTGCCGGTTCAAATCTCAACCGTCTCGACTAAGCTTAGACTTTCGAGGAGGCGGCCACACAAGGTTCCAGTGCAGCATCCTGTCCTACATCTTTCAAGCTGGGCAGAGACAAGCTTCAACAACGGTGGCCATTTCTTTTTGCAGGGGAAAGACCTCGACAGCGCAGACCAATTTTCGAATGAATTGCTCGACTATTGGCAGAAGTTTTCACAGAACCATCCTGACTTCAACCTGCCCTTTTCAAGGTGGACAAACACGATCCCAATTTGCTTACACGGGGATGAAGGAAGGGGCCGGTTGAAGCAGCCGGTTATGGTCATGTCTGTCCAGTGTCAACTCCCTCTTCGCCCTGGCAAAACAAACATGGCCGGGCCTCTCAGCCTTAAAGTGTGCAATGTTTTTACTTATTGGTTTAGAACCCGGTCCTTGTTGTAAGTGCGGTGGTTTTGTCACGCTACCCCCACCCATGTCTAACACTATGTCACTACGCAGCCTAAGGCCAAGCATTTGCACACGCCTATTGTACAGCATCCTTCCTGCCCCATATTCCCGGGCCTCCTTGTTTGATTTGCTGCGAGCTTGGGTCGTTGACCTCAACATCATGAGCGAAGATGGGATAACTGTCCCAAGACACAATGCTAGAAGTTTTCCCTTTTTGAGATTTTTGAGTTGGGTGTTACATGAGTTGCTTGTTTGGGGCAACATCTTCAAGCAAACCTCTTCTGGGACGACTTCTCAAAGCAACAGGTTCTTTGGCATGGCAAGATCTACAAGTGGCACTTCCAGGTGGTGAGCCTGAAGGGGGATTGGCCATTCTTACGGGCCAGCATGAATCTAAATTGCGGCTACAACTGTTCTGACAAGTGTCATCGGTGCAAACTCCGCGACCCTAGGCATGGTTACAGACTCCCTTAAATTTTATTTTTTTTTGGGCTGTTGGCATCCGACTATGATCACGCTTGGAATAGCCATCACCGTTGATGAGGACTGGTGGGATGTCAAGGGAGCCGTCAAGAACTTGAACGCCGCGGATGTGAACCCGAACCCCTTCAAAGCTGAACGTTCTCCACTACAAGATCTCAGAAACTTTTCTGGAAACCCCAAATACATACGGATCGACCCAGCACACACTTTTGCCATCGACGGCATTGGAAAGAACTACTGCGCAAGCGCCATTGTACAGTTGATGTTAATGGGCTGGTTTGGAGGTGGAAAAAACGAGGCCAGGTTTGAGAATGCATATGCCCGCTTTATGGCCTATGTGGACGCCCGTGGAAAAACGACTAGCATACATGAGTTCAGCTACAAAACCTTCAAGCTGCCAGTTGGATCGCTTCCCGTTTATGATTTGTTAGCTATACATCTTTGATCATCTTTGAATGTCATGGGTTAAGCCAAAAGGGGTGCCTTTAATAGCTCCTGTTCTCCCATTGTCCAAGGCTACGCGCTTCACCACGCGGTCTGGGCAAAGGCCACGACTGTGCAGTCGTGTCATCCTGGCTTGGCGAAGAGCTCCAGCAAATGGACCTCACCAGGGTAGACGCTTGGATCCATTTCCAAGATGGTTTAGGTTCCTTATTTGCTAGGCGGGGTTTGTCGCCGCAACACATTCTTGTTTTTGAAAGAGGGCATGCTGGTTATAGTGTGTCGCCTAGGAGGATGGCTACAAGGATATCATGGAGGTCTTACACTGGAGTTGCTTTGCGAGCAACCGCTTCTGGCGAACTGTGTATGGACGTGGGATATGGCTGACCCGAGAGGAGGCCAAAGCTGTAGTCCGAGACGGCTGGGCCTTTGTTGCAGTTCGCCCGCAACAAAAAGAAACACTTTTTTACGTTATGAGTGGTAGCCAGAACATCTTTCCTCTGCTTCTCCATACATGAGAATAATGATATGGGTTAAACCATGTTAAACCCATGCCAAGGATGGGTACGCCACTTTGGCAAGCCTGTGCTCCAGGCGTGGAGTGATGGGCTTTCATGTCCGGCCCAAGCTTCATATGTTCTGTCACTTACTGCCCCTTGGTGGTTGAATAGGATTTGGCATCGCTGTATTCACTAAGGATCACTAGGGGCAAGGCCCAAAGAGTAGCAATCGAACACAGCCAGTCAAGTGGTATATATGGAATAGAACCTTGGATCAAAGCTGTTGCCAATACGACTTCCCCTGTCAGCCAGCCCGAGGCTTGACATCCAGTATGCCCTGGCCAATGAGCAGTGTCAGGCCATCGAAAACTTGTCTGTCCACTGCACGTGGACGGACGAGGATTTTATAGGAAGAATCTCACGTGTGTCAAGAAGATCACACGTGTTGAGTTGCGCTGGTCACACGATCAGGCGTTGCCTAGGATACTACAGAAGAGAGTGGGCCAAGGAGTTTCATGTCTCTTACCTCAAAGCCAAGGCAGCTTAGGACCCGACGAAGATCGACGAAGTGGAAAGTGACGTTCACCAGCTCGATGTGCGTTCGCTGCATGTGACGGGTCAACGGTCCTGAACCTCATCCTTTCCAAGAAAGGAACCTATAAATTCGACAACTTTTTTGGGGCTCGACCACTTTTCTTCAGATCGACCAGAGTTCAAGAATTCGTACTACTTTTTCTGCGTACTAGAATTTTGTATGTCACTTGGTCCTCTAGGTATAAATACTAAAATAGGGACCAGTTTGATGCCCTTGGAAGAAGGGAAATAGATTCGTCTACGTATTATGGACCCGTCTAGCTATTGGGCCATGGGGTCTCCTGGATCTAAAATACACAGCCCCCTTTGAAAAACAGCCCCAAACGCATGTGCCATTTGGTCCGATCACTCGCATTTGGACTCCGAAACCCTCCGGTGCGCGGCGCCGCCCGGGTTCTTCTCATCGGCGCCTCTGACTCGTCCTCATCTGCCCATGAAATTCTCCGGAGCGGAGAAAGCTCCGTGGCGGGTGAGGCCCCCTCACTCGCATCGCGCAAGTTGGTGACATCGAGTGGGGCACTCAGTGAGAGGTCAGGATGCTCGGTGTTGGAGTCCCGCGTAGAGATGGAGTCTGGGCAAGAGATCTTGGAGACCTTCGCCTCAGATCGAAACATCTCGGAGTAACTCGGCGAGAGTCTCTGGGTATTCGGATGTGGACACCAAGAAATCACAAGCGGCGGCAGATGATACTGGACCGTGACCCATAATCTTGGAAGATTGGGGTGGAGATCGAACTTGGTTGACCTGCTCGACCTGCATGACCTCTGGTCGACCCGGGCGTCCAAGAAATGCTATTGAAACTCTGCCTTCAGTTCAAATGTACTGCTGTTGGGAGAAAATTCTGCATCGCCCAGAGGAGACATCTCCAATCAAAAAGGGCTTTTGTGTATCTCAGGTGGTGTACAATTTCACCTTTCAAGACATCTGCTAACATCACATTACCATTCTATTGTTAAATCATATGAACATCTATTGCCCTACCCCTACCTTGACCAACTGGTATCGACTTGCGACTACCTCTTTCATTCTCACCTTATCACGGCCAAATTCCTTTTCCATCTCCTTCCACTCACCCTTTCAATCCCAGGACAACCCTTCCAAAATCGGCCCATTTCGGCCTGCATCCCGGTGCCCTGTGCATCCCTGCAGAACCCCCTGCGGATCCCACCCGCCTGGGCGTGGACTGAGAGCTGCTCGAAGTCCTGGTACTCGGTGTGAAACTCGGAGTCCTCGGTGCCTGCGACGCGCGTCGAGCGCGTCGAGCGCAACTCGCCACTCGCCACTCGCCACTGCGCACTCGCAGTGACCGACCGTGGAAACGAACGCCTGCCCGAAGTAAAGACGTGCCGGGCTGGTCGATGAATCGGTCATATGGGATGTCATGGTGGATGAGCCGATCTAGACCAGGGCGCCCGGTGTTTTGGACGAAACATTGGATCACATCCAAAACACTATATGGTATAGCATTGATCCTTGCCCGACGGGTCTGTCGGACCTCAGTTCTTTTTACTGGAGTTGGTTTTACACACTACTCAATGGGGTAGAGGACCAGGCTTTACTGGATCATTTTGGACCGGTAGGATTGGCTCGTGGTAGGGGCTGGCGATGTCTTGCAGTCTTGCCATTCCATCCATCCCGGCCTTGCAATACACCTTCGGTGCTGCTGACACATCCCATGATCGCCGGAAGATCGCGCCGCTTCGGCTCACTGGAAATGCCACTCACCTTTTGGTTTGATGCACCCCAGTGGTTTGAGCCACTCAAAGATGCAGGCGATACAAGCATCTGAGACCCAGACGAGAAGGTGCTGTTTGAGTTATTTTCAGAGTGCACTAGTTTTCTGGAAGGTATAGCTACAGCCAAAAAGCTCTGGGCTCTTGAATCCCATTCCGGGGTTCACAAAAAGTGATGCCGCATGAATGACTGCACGTGACTATCTCTGATATACACTCTATAGATATCTCCCAACAGTATCATGTTTCATGGCCCGCCAGGGGATGTGATGGACACTTGCCAAAAGGTCTTCACTTTCTGGCACTTCGTTCTCCATCTTCGGAGGCTTTCGGGCAAGTAGACTCCCTGCACCGCACAACGTCCATGCACCACGCGTGTCCTTTCGACACGTGTCCTGGTCATGTTCATCAACTGTCCAGCCGCGTTCCTCCCCATGTTTCACAACCTCCCACAGCAGCGGACGCTCCATGTTTCGCTCCTCCCAACTCCGAACCCCCCCAAAACCTCCGATGAACGACGATGAACACGGCGCGAACGGCGACCACCAAGGCGTGTTACACTGATTGACTCGAGCGCGCAGCGCATGTGTCGACCGTGTCGCTCGGTGTGTCGATCGCGCCTTGATGTCCATGGACTCCAAACGATCGCACTTGGCCACGGCCAGAACCACCCGCAGGCCTCGCAGCGGGTTCCCTCGCGGACCAGGCCGTTTTCGGGTGGTGCACGGGTGCCCGGCAAGCTTGGCTGTGCCGAAGCCCCAAAACGCCACGGGCGCAGGGAACGTGATATTCGATGCGCTTGTTGCTTGAGGTTGACTGGTTGACTCCAAGGTTTGGATAAGTGTTGAACATTGGTGTTGGCCTGCGCTAGAAAGAAACGATTGGGTTGGGTGTGAGTATCAACACTTCCTGTGGACCTGGTCATTTCCAAGTGCCTGTAGTAGTTCTGTGCCATGGATGTCCGATATTTGCTGAAATGAACACGGGAAATGACCAGAAATGCACGGTCTCCGTCTTCGCTTTTGTGCTACGGCCTGGCACTGAGGTGGGCCGGACCCAAGCAAGACTGTGTCACATAGGGGAAGCCCGTTGGAAGCCCATCTTCAGTAGATCTTCCAGGAACAGAGAGGGATAGAAACAAGATGAAACAAGTGCCAAGCCCAGCAGAAGGACATGTTCTTGCACCAGGCAAGATGTCTATCATTACCGTCATGTTGAGCGCTCGAGGAGTCTCCCCTTCTGTCCGTTCACATCTTCAGCTCCGGAAGATCCTCCGCGAGCAGAATAACACCAGCCTTTTGATGAAGAGTTCCGTTGCTCGGATGGTCGCGTTTCCGACCGGAGTCAATTGAGAGTCCACCACATTTTACACGGATTCGCCAGGTGTTACTAGACTGGGTGTTCACCGGACTGAGCGAGATGAACTATCCTCAAACTATCGAAGCCAAGCCAGGAGTGCCAAAGCACAAATTGGATGGAAAGTTGCAACCCGGAGAAAAATTGATTGGTCACGTGGGTTAAACATGTTTAATCACCCCTGACAAAGCTGGTATGTATATTATATCTATACAGTAAAATATACGTGTATATTTGTATGTGTTTGAATAACATGGTTGCCTCGCCCATAGCCATAGCAACCCTTTTCTTGTTGTTCTCGGATTTTAGGGTCCCCTCAGATCCATGCTGGGCTTTCGGGGCATGTCCATGGAACGTGCGGGAACGAGCCTACTGGTGCACAACTTCTATAAGTCCAGGAAGCATGAAGGCACCCTCAGCTTATACAATTGCAGGTTCCAGAATCCTTCCCGCAGTGCCTTTGCTGATGTAGGTCTTCTTCAAATACCTCGGATGATGCACTGAAAGAGCCAGATGTGAAGCCAGCTGTCTGATCTTGGTCAGCGAGGGAGATGAGACATCAAAAACCGAAAAGAGTATGAGCTATCGCACCCAAGACCAAAAAAAATGTAAAGGGCCCTTCTTTGAGACGACTTGTAATGAATGGCAAAAATGATTACAATGATTATATTACTCAATGTCAAGTAAACACTCCTTCAGTCAAGGGCCCCAGGGCTTGCATGTTCCAATAGAGAATGGCTAGCTACGGCTAGTTAGTGAGATTCCCCATCTCAACTTGTTTTACAATCCATGTCTAAAAGGGGTTGAAATATCGAGTCTACATGAAGCGATCGTCCAGGAGAGGTGAGTGGGATCGACCCCATGAGAGCCCCAGAGCCAGAGCCCGATTTGGTGAAACACTGGAACAGACGACGTCTGAAACAACTTGGAGTCTCGCAATCCCAAACAAACAGAAGTTAGACATGGGGCCTTAGCAGGGGCCTTCCAGGGGCTGACTTTGGATCTGGTTTTGGAACGGAAAGAACCATCTTGCCCTGCAGAACCAGGAACCGGGACACGACATATCCTTTCTCCGCAAAAACCAGGGTTCGCGATGGTTCACGGTCCACTTCCGGGTGTGGGTCAAAACCGACCCACAGAAAATGAACCGAATGGCCTAGCCGGAAAGTCAACCTATAGGTGAAATGGGCTCCAAGTTTTGACCCACAGCCGTTGTATGCCTTGGCCAGGGGGCGTTTTGGGTGAATTCAAAGGAACCAGTATCCACTGAATCTGAACGCCCAGAAAGAATCCGAAAGGAAGAAAGAATTATATAGTTCCATAATGTGTCATATAAGAACTCCGTTTCTTGGGAAGGCTGAGTTTTCTTGGGAAGGATGGACATGCAACGACTTCGGCCACTGGAACAATCTCCTTCGATCAACCTGCCCTGCTTCACATGGGCAAAGGACCCAACGAGACCCCGATGTGGTCGACAGTAGAAAGAAAGTGGTCGAGAAATGTCGAATGCATCTGCATGAGTATTAGATTGAAAGAGAGCAGCTCAGAAAGCCTCAACCATGCTGGAGAGAGCAGCTCAGTTAACCACAACGATGGTTGTTTTTGGACTTCTAAGTCTTATAAGGTTTGGAAACCTCAAGCTACAGGCACCTCAACTATCGCCTATATTATCATATATTTGGACGGGACGATTAGCAGGGAAGAGGTAGGAATTATGCATTTGTTTGATCCACTTCATGTTGCATGAAAATCAATATATGCCCGTGTGTAAAAACTTAAATTCGTTCTGATAAAAATAACCTGGTAAACCTTGTTAGTCAAGATCTTGTTAAAAACAATAAGTTCAACCAACAATTAGCCATTCCGGCTGTGATATACTTGTTCCAATTTGATTCCATAGTTTAACCTACTTAGTGCTGCGACCTTTAATATACTGATCATGGTGAGGAGGGGTTAAAGCACCAATTGGGTGGTGCACTCTGCGAAATCTCCAACGTCTGTCCATCTCTTCCGGAAATCTATACATTATATATAGATATGTTTAAAGCTCGCAACTTCAAGTCACACGGCCTCCCACCCTTCCGCAGTCTCAAATCCCTCGGCCAACCACTGCCACTCCGCTCTCATGCTCCGCAACCGCGCGACTCTGCCACTTTGAGGTCGTCGCTGGTGACGCCCACGTTGCCATCCACCACCATGACCTCGGCGACCGGTCGACCGGTCACCGGGGGCGGTCGGCGGTTCGTCATGAACTCCCCAGGTCCCCCCATGTGCGAGGAACTCTCCCATCTATCCCAATATGTTATGGTCGAGGTGCTATATTGCTGCATAATACGTGTGTGTTTGTTCGGTTTCCAGGGATTCCGAATAATTCCTGGAACTCATTCTGTCGCCTACTGCCGACCTGAATTCGGCACACCTCTTTGTTGCAAACGTGGGCCAGGCCGGGATCTGTTGGTTCGGCCTTTTTCTCCAAGCCGCTGCAGCGCAGGCCTCGCGCAGGGCCACATCAATCTGGAACTTGATCTCATTCTGAAAGGTCACCGTTTCCTCAAACACCGGCACCCCGAGTGGTCGCGAGAAAACAGAACCAGCGAGCGCAAAGGCCGAACGGGTGAGGAGGAGAGACCATCTGGGCGGTTGCATCCCAAAGACTGGAGCGCCATTGATGCAATGAAGCCAATCCCAAGGAACTCCTCCTGGTCGGTGCGTGTACCTCCTCCTTTGCGTTTTGGGTGTCCATTGGTGTCTGTGAAACCTGTGGATGAAGAACTTGAGGAAAAGCAATGTTCCCAGTCCCGGCCTTGGAAGAATTCCAACCATAAGACCGGGATATATAGTTGGATTTTCACGAAGAAGGAGCGAGTTTCCGGGCGCGAAACGCCCGGCCATTTTCCTCAATGTCATTCATATTCTCGACCCCATCTTCATCTTGTCCATTATTAGTAGCAAGAAGCTACTAGTAGCAAGGGCATCGCTACTAGTAACAAGTGCCACGCTAGTAGTAACAAGTGCCTTACTAGTAGTAACAAGAAGCTACTAGGAGCAAAGGGCATCGGTCCAACGGGACACCCTTTCGGACCCTTCGGGGGGGAACAAACCGCCCTTGGCCACCCTGGGAAGCACCCAGGTGAAGTCACCCGCGTTTGGATGTTGCAACACCATGGAAACGCTTTGCGGAAGTATGTGTGCGGAACGTGTTGTACATCGATAATGATATATTGCCCGTGCAGACCAACAATCAAGATGTGTGTCGAATTCTGTGGCTTTTGGGGCACCGAAACCCAATGAGAACGCAAGTTTAGTGCCATGAGGATTACAACCCTACAGACAAGTTTTGGCAGGAACATGGCTGGTGCGAGTGCGCAAGCCCAGTTATAAAGAGAACTTGAGCAATCCCACAACCACCACAGCACGTTGAAGAAGTGCTGGTTCTGTTCTTGATTCTCCAAATAAACCTGTTCTTGATACAATCCAGCAAATGGTGTCTTATCAACCTGTGTTCATATGTGGTGTTGAACTGTTATCTTGCATCTAACCGCATGGAAACGCAACATCCAAATGACTTTCGGCAAGACCAGACGACTTAACCCAACTGCTTCTGCCACAGTCAACAGCGAATTGTGCATAACCCCAACCACTCGCAGTTAACACACGTTTACAACAATTTTCACCACGGTGCACCGCATGACTCTTCACTGCGAATCCTCAACAGCTTGGCTTCCGAGAGGTGCGACGAGTGGATGTCGAGACACTAAGGAATCCTCGAAGACCATGCCGCCAGCATCCACCACATCGAAGAGATAGGTGTCTCCGCCTCGAAGAGATTGGTGTCTCCGCAAAAGATCCGCATGCACATGCTGCATATGAACTGGTCACTTTTTCGAATCTCTCGAAGATCCGAACGGCTGATGCCTTTTTCCAGCAGAATCTTAGAATCCAGGTCATTCAGGGAATGAAGAACGGAAGATGGGGATAAATGTGGAGTAGCCACCTCCTTTGAAACTTTTGTGGACCTTCTTTTGCGGGTCTCCTGCTAACAGTCATTGGAGAATCCTGGTGCGGGTCTTGTGGTTGGACAGGTCTTATGGTCAGCAGTCGTGTAGTATCCTCGGGTATCACAGTCTTGTGGTCTAACGTCCCTGGTCTTCTGGGTGTTCTTGAGCATCCCAGTACATCCCAAAGCAGAAGTGCCTGGGATAGGAAATAGCCAGGGGTTCCCTCCTATCTGACAGCAAGCTCTCCTTCTTTTGGTCGGCCATGGGGCCATGATCATAGCCTGCCTGCAAGCTGTCTCACTCTGATCATCCGTTTTTTTGAATTCTGCCCTCACTTCTGCATCCAACTCAACCACCAATCAAACTCAGACGAACATGTCCAAGTGCTCTGCCATGGCGCAATCGTCCGTGTGCTCTGCCTGCTTATAGGTCCGGTCGTGCGTCACCTGGTCCGATCTGCCCCGGCCGGGACGGGGAACGGGGATCGGGACAGTGACGGCCCTCGATCGTTTATATATATATATATATATATATGTTGTAATGTTTATCGTGAAATATAAAAGTATACCCTAAAGTTCTAAGACAATTACAGTAAAACGAAGTTCGAGCTGGCATTGTAGTGGAAACTCCTCAATAGACCATGTTTGCTCGATAAAGACACTTTCCATCCATGGTGGTTCCATTCCCTGGGTGATATACAAATATGTTATAAGAGACTTACTTTTGAAGCATGGTGCTTTCGCATGTTTCCGTGGTGTTTTGCATGGCTTTGGGAGAAGCCTTCCAACACGCTCGAGGCCCTGAGCCGCGCAAGAAGCCGGATGTCCCAAGCGTCCCAACCACAGTCAAAGCTTGAAGTTCCAGCAGTCATAAGGTGAGATCATGTTGGTTCAAGCAGTCAAAACCCAAACCAGTTTGATCAAAGTTATACCAGCGTAGACCCCAAACAGTTTGTGCAGTTATGAAGTAAGCCACAGAGACGAGGTGTCAAACAGTCAACGGCTCAAACCGTTCCTGTTTCACTTGTCTCCCACTTGTTTTGGCGAACTCTGGATACACTTGGCCGGATGTGTTTCCCCAAATGTGGCGGCTGGGTGCTGCTGCCAATGTTGATGACGGCTGGGCGCTGGCGCCGCTGCAGGGTGCGGCTGTTAGAAGTCTATGGCCTATGGCATGTCCCACCACCACTACAACGACTACATTTAACTTATTTTTCGGATTTAAAAATCAGTTCTCTAATAGTTACAAATTCTATAACTACCGCAGCATGACAACTCTGTCCACCATAAGCGCTACTAATACTCTGGCGACCTCTGGTATATTGAGTTTCCATTTCATGCGGTGTGCTAGTCGGACACCGGAAGCTCACAAGGTTCGACCCCCGAACGCTCCCTTCTCAAAGGTTCGGGCCCCGAACGCTGGGGCCCCGAACTTCGTTTTAGAGTTTGGGCCGCCACTACTGTCAGTATAATAGTGCTATATGTTGCAAAAGTTTTCATTCATGCCGTGGGTGTCCAATCGCGCCTCGGAAGTTCCCAAGATTCGGGCCCAGAACACTTGGGCCCCGAAGGTCGGGCCCCGAACTTCAGATTAGCTACAAAAAGCAGCGGTACTTTTACAGTCACCGGGCTATTATCACGGCAAAAGCAGCGGCTTTTACTAAAGGGGGACGAACAGGCAGAGAAGTGGAGACAAGTGTAAATGACTTTGGCCAAGTGCGTCCAGAGTAGTCCGGCCAAGCGCACCCAGAGCCGACCCTACAGCTCCGTATGGGCGCACCGGAGACAAGTGGGAGGCCGGCCAAGAGTATCTAAGCAGGGAGACAAGCAAAGAGAGAAGTGGTGACAAGTCTAAAATCATCCGGCCAAGTGTATCGGGAGTAGGCCGAGACAAGTGGGGGACAAGAAGCAGGGAGACAAGTGTAAAATCATCACATGGAGACAAGTGTAAGAACATCCGGCCAAGTAGTAGGCCGAGACAAGTGGGAGACAAGTGGAGACAAGTGTGACACGGGTAAGCCAAGAGTATCTAGGCAGGGAGACAAGCAGGGAGACAAGCGGAGGCAAGTGTAAAAGATCCGGCCAAGTGTATCCAGAGTAGGCCGAGACAAGTGGAAGTGGCAGTGTGTAAGCATCCGGCCAAGTGCATCCAAAGTAATCCGGCCTAAAGTATCCAAGCAAGGAGACAGGCAGGGAGACAAGTGGAGACAAGTGTAAAAACATCCGGCCAAGTGTACCCAGAGTAGGCAGCAAAAACATCAGCCGAGGAACGCAAGCCCGGAGACAGAGCCAAAATCATCCGGCCCAGGCATGCAACCCTTTAAAAGGAGTAAGAGCCCCATACATTATACAGGTAGTTAAACCTGTGTGGGGAATAAAAAGTACACAGCCTGCAGCCTGCTCTTCCTGAAAGTTCACTCCAGTCTTCCCACTTCACTCAGTTCCCTTGCCCCATTCTGTGCCGGGTGGCGCTGATTTCATCATGCGTGATGCCGCCGATCACGTCAGGCACATCGCAGATGCGGTTCACCAAAGTGGACTTACCAACCTCGCAGGCTTCAAGAAGGCGTTCCACTGCCAAAAGGAAGAAGGGACTGGCTTGTGACGTCCAAAATCTAGGCCAAAGTGTTAAAGGATGGGCGAGCAGCTCCCAACTCAGCTCCCGGTAGACTGGCATAGTTGCATACATATATATACTGTATGTATGTGTATGTGTATATATATATATACTCTATGTATATATATATATATCTGTATTTATGTGTGTATATACACTGCATGTACCTTGTCATTCCTGCCCAGTGGATCCGACTTTGAACATTCAAGTTGACATAAGGTGACTATTGCGTGGATCCGCCAAATAGATGTATTGAATAGGAGTAAAGAGATCACAATACCTCATGCTTGCCATGAAACAGAGTCAATATACAGTACATGTCAGAGAGCAAGGGGAGGCATTTACCCCTGAAAGAAAACATAACTTTGAACGGAGATCATTGCCCCAAAAAAATAAACAAATAACAAATCCAAACAACATGGGGGGGGTATCCCCCAAGCATGCCAGCTCTTGGCCAAGGCACGTTGGGGCGCCCCACGACCGCCACCAGTGGACGCTTCACAGGTGTCGGCTTCTTGGCCAAGCGTTCCGCTGCAACCTGCGAGCACGGTGAACATCAAGTCAAGACAAGCGACCAAGCGACCTGTTGATCAATCCCCTAGGCCTGGAGAATCCCTTATGCCTGGAGATGGCCCCAAAAGCTCATCGATGCCGGCGAAAAGAAACAGCAAACCAAACAAAGACACTCATGGACTGCTGGACATTCTGCAGGTTTGATGTCCCTAGAACCAGAAGCTCTCTGGGTCGAAACGAAAAGGCCTGCAGGTTTGATGACTCCATATCCAAATCACCAAAGCACTTCAGATATATAGTATATAGTTTAGAACTTTTCCAAATCAAGTCATATTATGAGCAACTGCTGTGTTTGGATCTCCCCGTTGATTGATCTATTAACAAAAAACGAGGTAGAGTCCTCGATGCGTCAAAAGGGCATCACCCTATCAGAGCGTTGAATGACTTGTCGCCCTTGGGAGTCTTTCGGCTGGGTCAGGGAGTCCGGGGGGCAGACGTGTCGCGACTCCAGACTCGGACACGGTCCAAGTCCGTGCAGTGCATCGGAACAGAGCTTTTAAAGGTCGGAAGGTTTACATCATGTCATTCTGAAGCTGCTGGTCACCAGCTACTGAGATTGACACCGAAGGCGACCTGAACACGTGACACGGATTCAAGATCGTGTTCTTGTCCTTGTTCTCTTGAATGAAATGTAGCAAGCTGAAGAAGGTTGAAGGAAGGTTTGAATT